AGCGTCACCAAATGAGGTACTTTGTAAAGGTCCGTTTCATTTGGTATATATTACCATTGTGACAGCATTTTATACCCCAAAATAGGAATCTTGCGTCTTGTTTTAGGTCCCGATAGTAGAAAGAATGCAGTGTACATGTATTCAGATGGCCGCCGTGTAACGTTACGTACTAGCGAGCGCGCACGACAATACCGCCAGAGTAGAGTAGGTTATCCTAACCCTTTAGATAGCGCAAAGAAAACAAAAACGACAGATTTGCATTAAAGAAAGTTTATTTTCCATAGCCTGGGCTAAGCCACGATCTATAACCTATGGCTTCTCCACGGGCGCTGGGGACGAGCGTGGTATTAACCGTTGCCTAATTATAATGTCTGCACAGTAGGTCTGGCGTTGACGCTTGGGATTTTGTTGAAATATATAAAACTTCACGGAGAATTGTCGCCTATGGCTTCTTGTTGTATCTAATATTGAATGCAATAAATGCTGTATATATTACGAATATACATCTAAAACTTCAACAGTTGAATCTGACTTGATATGTTGGCAGTGTGGGTGATCTACTGGTATAGACATCTCAGCTTAGTTTGTACCATTAAAATATTTTCTTTGGATATATCTCAGATTCCCTTCCCTCACTGTAATGATGAATGGTAACATCTGCTGAGGATGCAGAGGAAAGGTATGCATGTACTCAGCAGGAGGCACTGCTACACAGCATGCCAAGTGCCCTTAGGCAATTGTCACATCCAGTCACTACAATTCAGGACTTCATAACTATGAGTATTAATGAGGGCTTCAACAAACTCACTTTAGTAGATAATTTCAGTAACTTGTACAGTTATCTTTTCTCCTTATTTCTTTAATAGTATTTTTACTATTATTACAAAAAAACTTCATCTCTGCAATGCAGGAATAAAAATCCGCTATTTTACTATAAGCACAAGATATAGCGGAAAGATTGGAGGTGGGGTCAACAGATTTAAACTTAATTCTATTTCTATACATTTTAAGGGAGGGGCCTCAAGGGGGTATGGACTATGGTGATCAGTTAGGAAAAAAAGGGCTTGAAACTGATATATTGGGGATAAAATTGCCACAGCATAGATTGATAATGTAACAGTCCAACATTCTGCATGCTCTTTTATCATCCTACACAACTCTTCAGTTATAAATGACAGAACATCAAATCAATTTTCCACTTTGTAGTTGTGGTCACCACTGACTGCAATATTATGCTACTTTACTAATTAGAAACAGCCAAATGTCTTCAGGCATGACCTAAACTAACTATGCCATTTTACAGTAAATGTTGAACACAGTGCTTGTTATAGTGAGGGTATGTCATTATTTATTAATTGAATGCTAACAGGACTTTGGATCTTTTTGTAGAAATCTAATGGACCATCATTATACATGTCCCCACCCAAGGAAAGGAAACAATGATCCATTGTATTGTACAGCATGCTGTGATGTGTCCTCTGACTGACATAAAGACACACATGCAACAAACAAGGCACAAACCTCTATTCTGTACCAAATAAACATAGCCCTGAGGTAAAAATATCATGGGTCATGTTTCCCCCCAAAAATCTATAATTATGAAGATTCGTATGCAAAAAGTGGCTACAACACTTAAAAGTTAATTTTTCTTTTTACTGACGTGGATTGGGTGACAGAAAACAATTATAATATGGTGAATAGTTCGTAATGTTTTCTAACATGTACAAGGGTCGTATGTGTATTGTTGTATATGATCAAAAATGGCAAAAATATTTGTCACTCTAAACGCCCCCCCCCCTCCGAAAGAAGTAACGGTCCCAAACTAGGTAACACACGTAAGTCATAATTTGTCTGCGAATTCCCCCGTAAGAAACCAGAACTAAGAATTTCAGGAAAATTGCTACGAAAGGCGTTTTACAAGTTTTTACATGGTTGTCATAAAACCATGAGTAGTTGCGGGGAACGCAGATGACGTAAAGGTAGGAACTACGGCAACACGCAGTCAGGAAAAAGGACCACACCCAAAAACTAGCGGTGACAGTTGCGCGACTACGTACCTTCTTTTTCCTGCCATCATCCTCCATTTCAGTTATCTCCACAACGGTGGACATCAATCAATGCCCGATGCCTAACCACACAGGTTGAACGCCCGCGTCACGTAAACTGATCTCGTCTTCAAGTATGCGGGCGACTTGGAAACAGAAAAATTCGTCGTAAGTTCGTTCAAGACAGCCGCCATGTTGGGCGTGGCACCCAGCGTGCTTTGTTATGGAACCCCACACTTACACCATATAGGGGTGGCGGAAAATTCCATCGTTTTAAAATTGGACAATATAATGAATCATGCCTCGAATCAAATGTCTTTAAGCAATAAAATATATATATTCTTCATCCAGTATTTATTCATTAGCATAGAATAACAGTTTTTGGGCTATACAATGAATATTTAGGAAATCAAAAAACTACCAAGTGTAGTAGCCCAAAAGTCACGTGGCGTATCAATCAGCTGATGAGGTCGCAGTGGGGTGACAGGCTGCGTAAATATGAAACAGGAATGAGAATTTGTTTTTCTTCGTCGTCCTTGTGAGAAGCTATGAATGACACATGGAGTGGACGACATGGCGAAACAGCTGAAAGCACACATCCGAGTCATTGGATGTAGAATATGTGAATGACAGGGCAAGTGTGCGGTTTTTACACTCGTGTTTTATCATAAGCGTTATGACCTATTTTGATTCAAATAGGCAAGGAGGTTACAACTTGTACAAGGAGGTTCAAAAAGGCCTTGGTATAAGTAATATGAGCTTTTTCAGTAAAAAGAGCCTGGCTCTATATTCTCTCTGAGTATAGATGAAAAGAGCTGTCCTTGGTGATATAGGTGACTAAATAACAAATGGCAAACTTGCGAATCATGCTAAATTATGCTCATGCAACATGCAACAATTCTGGAGTTTTATGGGCAATTCTAAATCATGAACAATTAATTGGCCACATGAGAAAAATATAGCTGGTTACGAATATAATTAACACTTTATATTAGCACTTCCTGAATGCCTAACCACAGAGGCTGAACCTTGAAAATTTGTGCCTGTCACATACTCATGTCGGTATATTTTAGGTCTTTCACTGAAGCACTGCATCCTCTTCTCAAGAAGGTTGTAATGAAGAAGGAAAACACCATGTTATGCCAATTACATCATACATACATGTGGGGTGTGCACTATAGCATTCAAAATACAGATGGCTAGATGAGAACTTCACACACTGCTAATAGTGCTAGTATTATCCAGTTTTCCAAAATATTCAAATTTTGTATATTCTGGTATTGATTAAAGAACGAACAAAAAATTACAAACTTTTGTACATTGGCAGGAAATCTACATCAATCCTTGTTTTGTCATGCTATTTGTTTCTCAATGAATATGTGCATTGGCAGGAAATGTACTAGTACTGTACCTTAAAACGTTTGCGGTCATAAAAAAGCGGCCATATGTTGTACTTAACAAGCTTTCGAGTTTAAATAAAGGCTCATGATCACTACTACTACTACTACTACTACTACTACTACTACTACTACTACTCTTGCTTGTAGACAATCTTGTTTGTTCAAGCAAGGAGGTTAAAAAGTCCTCCTTGGTTCAAGCAACTTCCTTGATGTTAGGTGGGATCAAGCAATTCTGATATCAAACATTTTTGTTTCATCATTTCTTTAATTCTGTTTTCGGTCTTGGTTTTTGGTCTGTTTATTTGCTAGATTGTGGGAGGACCATGTAAACATTTAATGTCTACTGCGTCTCCAGTAACCATTACATGAGCAGTTGATGTACATACCAATCAAGTTAATTGATTAACTCAGAATGTTAAAAATTAACTTATAGGAGTTCCACTTCTTTGTTAGTATTGGATGGCAGAAAAATAACGTCAGCAGTTTTATGTGTCCTTCAGATGGCAAGGATCACAGTCTGTAGCTTCAGCCTACAACACAGCTGTGGTTACCTTACTTGGGCTGGACCTGCCTGCATATAGAGAGTATGTATGACAGGTCCCTTACTCCAGACTTGTCTGTTTGTTTTCTTATTTAATTATATCCTCTTTGTAAAAAAGAAATCAATGATTTCACACTTTTGTGAAGTATTTTATAGAGTTGTGAATTTCTTGCTTTATATTCATTATTCTGAATGTCATGTGCATATTTCACCTGTGCATTATCACTTCCTCCCAGCTTTCTGAGAAACCATTTTGACCTTCAACTTGACCTTCCTGTCAGTCTGCAGATTCTTATTTTATTATAATTTTATAGTGATTTATAACTATTTGCATAATACTGTGTCATCAACTCTCAATTTTCATGTTATGACAGAGAACAGGGAACATTTCCCTTTGTAAGGTCCCATTTAGCCCTTGATGCCCTCAATATAATGGTAGGCAGAGCCCATCCCTCTCTTTCCATCTCCTTTTACCTCCCCAGCCAAAGTCGGGTACCCATTTTATACCTGGTTTAAATCAATAGATAGAGGAAAGTCATGTTAAGTGCTTTTCCCACGGACTGAATGTCTATAGCCAGGAATGCCAGGAAATTCAGGAATCAAACCCATGACTTCTTGATCTCATGTCCACTAGCCTGGTTGTGTGATGCCACTCATAATTTCCTTTGTATCCAGCTATCAAGAATAACATATTACGTAACACTGTGTGATGGGTCTACATGTTCAAACAAATAACATTTTTGTTTGTTTGATGTTTGTTTAAACTCAAAGTATACTACCAGTACTCTTTGGAATTTGTGCAGGTGGGGGCAGCATGATCATCAGTCAAAGGTTACAATGATAAGGGTATTGACCCTGGCACACCCAACAGAGCTGTCATTGTGTATCAGCTTCTTAATTTGTTTTTACTTTTATTTGTAGATGAAATATGGAAAGCTGCAGTCAATCATGAGCAGATATTTACAATTACATCAAGATGTATTTTAGCATTATGTCTTTTGTTGTGTCCATGTTAGAAACTGTGTTATCCAGTCTGATGAGAAACCAATTGGGTCGTCCATGTTTATAGGTGATATAGATAACATTATTCTTTAGGGTTGTGCAAAGTTTATTCCATGATTGTTAAACCTAATTTGTAACACTGTGTGGACACGACAAGGACACCCAGTAGTCCCTGGACTTGTTCTTCAGTGGTATGGGGAAAGGTCATTTTTCTTGGAGATAGCAAAAGAGAAGTACAAAAGGGTGTATTACCTGCTTCAAATGTTTGAAAAGCTTGTTATCAACCAAATTTTACAATAATGATTCTATATCTTGATGTCATGTCCCTGCAAAGACTACAAAAGTGTCAAGATGTCAGTAATCAAGATGTTTTATCTTTTGACATCTGGCCTTGGGACCAACTTATCACAAGCTAATGTTTGTTGTGTTACAGTTGTGGCACACTGCTACTCTGAACCCACACAGCGGACGACTGTGTCATGGAAAACCTTGCCATGGACTTCATCATTATCTGCGATGCCGACACAGAAAAACTGCTGACCAACACGTCTATCCTGTCATGGATGGAGACTGTGAACATCGCCATGGAAACCATGTACGGAGTTATGGAGCAGCTGGGTGTGGACAACCTGGACATCGACTGGATCTCCTTTCTGGTCTGGATGTTCCTCCCGATGGTCGTCGCCTTCATCCTGCCATTGTTTGTCATCATCCTCCTCTACTTGACCGCGCTGATCATACACATCTACCGGGCACGACACAAACTGCGGGATGCGTTCGCTGTGGACCTTTGGCTTGGTGCCCGAAAAACTGTTGCACTACTCTGGGAACTGCAGGGCAAAATATGGCATGGTAAGCAGGCCTTGGTATATAAGCTATGTACGTTTATATCCGTTTATTCAGCAAATTATAGCTTGGTGTGCATTTACATGCAAACTTTGTAGCATTAGTATATTACCTTTTATTTTGAACTTTTCAATTGCGATACGAAAAAACCTATCTGTGGCCATTGTATCAAGATGCATGCAATTCTTTTGATGAACAGAATCCCTGTTGCCTTGAAAAAGTAGGACGGTGTCCTTGACCAACCTCAAAGGTCATAGTACAAAGACCAGAGTAACTTCTAGATAACTGCTGAAGAGTATCCAATACCCGCCCTTCAATGTCTAACCATTGAGGAGCTTCCAAAACTTGAAACTCCTTGCTGTAACTTAATGACCAACATGTATCTTATGATATAAACTGATAAGCCAATTACAAACAACTCTATGCTTTCAATCATTATTCCTTCTTTGATTAAAAAATCAATACCATCAATGTTTTGAATCAGAATACTCAGCCTTAGTATTCTGATTCAAAACATTGGGCTCCCAAACCACCTTACATTTTCTACCCTTACAGGATACGAAATCCATGGTGCGGAGAAGCTGCCTGCCAGTGGCCCTGCCCTGGTGGTGTACTACCACGGTGCCATCCCCATCGACCTGTACTACGTCATGGCAAAAGTCGTGCTCAATCAGAACCGCCTTCTGTATGCTGTCGCCGACCGCTTTATGTTCAAGATCCCAGGTATGAAGAGTTTTGTATCTTGTATGACCTCGACATGGCCTCACTCTGAGTTTTGAAACAAGTATATTTAGAAAGATCTGGCTTCAGCTTAGATACGTGTAATCCCTTCCTGCCTCCCTAGGCTGGAGCCTGATGCTGAAGGTGATGTGCGTGACTCCTGGGGCACCAGAAGACTGCATTAAGCTGCTGAAGGAGGGAAACCTGCTCTCCCTGTCTCCTGGTGGGGTACGAGAGGCACTCTTTGGGGATGAATACTACAGACTAGTCTGGAAAAACAGAATGGGCTTTGCCAAGGTGGCTAAAGCAGCCAAAGTGGTGAGTTGTGCTTCAATCAGATATTTTGAATCAGTCAACTTTGATTGAAATATTGTTTCTTAGTTTAGTGAACACAGTGTTAGAACATACTTAACTTTACAAATCTTCACTTTTTTTACTTTTTTCTTGATTTCTTTGCAGCCCATATATCCCATGTTTACTCAGAACTGTCGAGAGGGATTTAGGTCCATCAGAATGGGGAGACGTAAGTACTCTACTTAAATAATGATATTCATTATTCAGTAAGATACCTTTGATTTAACATGTAACTGTAAAAAGTAAAGGGAACTGCCATGACCAAAAAAAGTAATTTCTTTGCCTGTGACAGGAAGAATGTTTTCTAATGTAAATTTGTAGAGCATCACCATTTCGTTGTGCCTTTTTCTTACATATCTGTAGACTTCCTGGAGTGGGTGTATGAGAAAACCCGGCTGCCCATTGTGCCAATTTACGGAGGCTTTCCAGTGAAATTTAGGTGAGCTTTCTTTTCCCTCTCTGATCCCTCCCTCTCTCTCTCTCTCTCTTGTTCTTTTACTATTCATTTTCCATATTACATTGTATGTTTTCACATTGCAGTTTGATTTTTTTAACACTTTTTGGAATATGAGAGGATGTCATCCATGTTGAAATGTTGAGAAATTTACAGACTAAGTAGCTTCATCTTCAAGATGGCTTGTGTAGAATTTTCTACAGCTGAAATTATAAGTAAAGCTCTTTCATATGTGTATCACGTTTTCTTCAGGACGTATATTGGGGACCCAATTCCATATGATCCCAAGGTCTCTGCTCAGGAATTAGCTGTTAAGGTGAGTTATTCTAATTTACAAGGAGGGCTGCATTTCAATTATTATTTTTTTTTGGGGGGGGGGGAGGGGGGTAGAGGTATAGGTGACTATGCAAGGACATGCACTCGGACAGTGTAATGATGAGCTAGATGAGAACCTAGCTTTCAATGTTGGAACAAGAAGTTATAGCTCATCAGAACAATAGCCATGAAAGCATCTGAAGAAGAGAGTCGAAGGCAATGTTTAATCTGTGAGAGGTTGACATAGTCTTAAGAGTTGACCATAGAATGCATAGTAACCATAGCCATTGTACACATTTGATGACTCAGATCAGTTTGTATTCAATTCTTTATTAACATACCAGACATAACAGACAAACATGGCATACAATATTGCCTGAATGGCGTCGATATTTACATGTTTACAAAGTGTTAAAAAATCATATATTTACAAAAACTATAAAACAGTACAGTAAGTAAGCTCCTGTTTCCCCCCTGCAGACCCACAATGCCTTGGAACAGATGATTGACACATATCAGAAGATCCCAGGTACCGTCTTTGGTGCCCTGCTGGACAGAATCCCTGCATTCAGCAGCGAGAAGCAGGAATAAAGAGGACATGGAGCGTTTGATCAAACAGTACATGTTGTTATATAGGCTGGCGTCACACTGTCAATGACCTTTGGGTGAATTTGTTCATCACCAGAAAGTCAGCAAACTTTAAGATTGCCAGAGAATCCAACACGTTTTTTGCTTAAAATCTAGCCTCTCTCATTGGATTACCTATCTCAAAATTGTGAAGTGGTCAAAAGGACACTGCTGTTAAAATGTCCTACTAAAGCTCACAGACTTATCCGGCAAGCTATTTTCCTGCTGTGTGACGCTGTCTTAATGCAACAGTCATGTGCAGTGGTTTGGTCAAGTTGTGCAATGGTCACTTGCAGGGCAAGGTGCAAAACTGTAGACGTTTGCAGCGTCAGTGTAAAGTCAAGAATTAAAACACATTCAGTGCAGTGTGGTACAGTGTGAAATGGAACTGTTGTGTGTTATGTTGCTGGTAATAGAAAGGAGTGACATATCAGTGCCTGTCTTCCAAGAGCCTTTGAAAAGTGCAAGTAGAAATTATGCTAAGATAGCTTAAAGTGTTTCTCACTAGCTAGATTTGTCCAAGGAGGTTATACTGAGGGCCTGCATGCCCTTTTTCGTTAACCGTTATGGGCTATTTTAATTCACCGTTAATCGTTGCCGGCCCGCTCTAATTCAACGTTAAGCGTTATCAGTATATTCCTCGTGAAGCGTTATTGGTCGTTTTAATTCAACGTAAACCGTTATTTGTCATCCTAAATTCAGCGTCAAGCGTTAATGAATGATTCTTCGTTACGCCTAATTTTGCCTTTCAAAGTGCAGGAAAATGCGTCATTGAAGGTTTAAAAATACAAAATTTCCCGGGGGAGAATGCCCCGGACCCCCCTACATTGCTCGCGCCTTTGGTGCTCGACTCGCGCCTTCTGCGCTCGGTTCATTCGGCTCTAGCCAGTACCAGTTTTTGGTCAATTACCGGAAGTTTGCGGAGAGTTACAGAATCTTTTTTGACAGGCAAAATTAACAAAAATCTTGAGTAAAAATATGAAAACATCAGAAGGACCGACAAACACTCTCAACACCATGATTTGCCTCTCAAAATGCGGGAAATTGCGTTTTTGAAGTTAAAAATCCTAAATTTCCCGGGGGAGCATGCCCCCGGCCCCCCTAGATTACGAGCACCTTTGGCGCTCCCCTCTCAAAATCCATGGGCGAACGGAAAAAAGTCAAGCTGGGTAGAGCCCTGGCCAACGTCCACTCGGACGCACTCGGGGGCCAGGGCAGGTCATTACATGTATAAGGTATACGTAATTTTGTCAGTGATCACCTTTTCTCACAAAGCGAGATACCAAATCCAGTGCAGCTCGAAAAAAAGCCTGTCAATTTACCGTTAAGCGTTGCCGACCATCCTGAATTTACCGTTAAGCGTTATCGGCCCTGCTGAATTTACCGTTAACCGTTACCAGGACCCCCCCATGCAGACCCTCTATACTGGTAACCTCCTCGATCTGACGTTGATGACTTTTTGTTATGGTAGTAAGCCACTGTCTCTGCAACCTAGAAATGTTTTGAGATGAGACATCAATGATGGAATTGAACTAAGTATAGTTTGCCATAGCTATGAGGTGCAAATTCAGACAAACAAATGTTAAAAAGGCACTGTTGATTGTACGGCAGGAAAAGAAATATATACATTTGTAATATCGTGATTGGAAAGCTGTCAGCATTCTTCTCATGTATTGTGGTTACATGCTGCAAGTTGTAGCAACATGCTGTAGTTACAAACAAAGTTGCTAGGAGGAGCTTTCCAGAAAGTATCATAGAGTTGTTCTTGGTCTGTAATGACCTGCAGGCCTGGAGTGTAAATGTGTAATAGGGATTTATAACATTCAAATATTCCTATCAACTAAGATTGTGGAAATTGTGGAATAAAAAAGAAGGAAATGTGAAAAGTATATTATTTTTGTGGAGGAAATGTCAGTATTTGCTATTGCATATAAAATCATAAGTCATGGTAAAGTTTTCATAATTTATTAATTAATGTGCACATGTATAAAAGTGTAGTTAGTCTTGTTGGCATGTCTACACATACTAGGCACATGTGTTTAATATGTTGCAACTTTGATACAAACGATTTTTGTATAACATGTATGAATGTGCAAGCATTGACCTATTGTCACTGTGATAAATCATGAATGAATTTTGAGAAGGTATAAATAACAGACTCATTTCCTGAGGGAAGCTAAATGTAGGACCAAATCTTTCTATTGCAGTTTTCTTTTTTTTTCTTATTTTGTTTTGATTTACATGTGCTAGTTGCTGAAGATGTCTTCAGTTTGGAGTGGTGAATCACAAAGTGTGCAATGAAAATGATCCAACAATGTGTTAATATTACTCACATATGCATTGTAGTATTATGTTGTAAGTATTGAAAAAGCCAGTATCTTTTTCATACATTGTACCTATCAGTGTTAATTCAAGTATGGCGCATAAATACTATGTTAGGCATTGTGTTTTCTCACATGCTGATTTGACAGAATTGTTTGAAATGTCTTGTTAGTAAGGCATCTTTGTGATATTTGACTTTCAGCTTTAACACTACAATATGGGGAACTACCATTCCAGAGAATATTTGACAGACTGTACAATGTACTTATGTTAGTTAACATTGATAAGTGATGCCTGGCCAGCTAATGCTTTGTTGATATTCACTAAGTGACTTATATACATGTATTTGTTACACCAAGCCTAAACTTTAGGTGATGTTTAGTTCTGGGAACAAAGGGCAAAAAATATCAATGTTGACTGTTTTCCAAAATATAAACAAGTGATCAATGATCTCATACCTCCATGAAATGTTTTTGTGTATGTCTTGCTTTATTCAAACAATGTGGTGATGTACATGTAGTTTGTTCAAGAGTTCATTAAAACTTATATATTTATATGTTCCCCAGACATGCGTCCTTACCATACATGAAAAGTGATGTTCCGCAAGAATTTAACTAGAGTTCCATGACCTCATACCCTTGATAAATGAGGTTAACCTTCATGACAGTCAGATAAATTATGAATGTTTGTCATTGATTATGCAAATGTTCAATAGCATAAATTATAAATCATATAAATTAGAAATTTACCACCACAATCATGTGCGTATCGGCATACACTTGAAGTTCACTCTTGCCTGCACAGAATAAGACTATATGGGACAAGAGTCAGGCACAAAGAGGTCAAAAGGCACGTTATGTACACCTCACTGTATCAACATTGGCATCCAAAGTGCATGTGATCAGCATATGACCTACATGTACCAAAGGTCACATTTGCTTTGGTGAGTTCCTTATGTGACGAGACAGAAACATCGCCACGTTTAGTGGTTGAAATCATGCTCGTCTTCGCCCTATATACCATGGTGCACTTGGCTGACGGGGTCACATCCAGTTGTGAGTACAGCACATGTATTTGTGACTTATACAGTAGATGTTGCATCGAGACATAAGCATATTTGTGGATCAACAAAAGTATATTTGCTAAATGTGGTCTGACTGTCCGACAGTACGAATGAAAGTTACGGCGCTCAATTACTGCTATCACCTTCCATGCGTTACTAACAATCCACGCATACAGAAATATCAAATGTCAAGTGTTGTAAGAAACCGTAGTGCAGAGACGATCATAGTATAAACCCACAGTCTGGCATAAACCAATCCCATAGCCCCGCCCACCTCTGTCAAAACGTAGGGCTGCAAAATAAAAGGTCATATGCCCCTTAATATTTTCTAAGCTGATGATCTGATCAAAGAACATAATCGATATGTGTTAATCTGTCCATTTTGCCGACTGTTGTCCCCGTCTGACAGTTTGTGTGACAGGTGGCAATTGCAGTGCAGTGACGTCTGGTTCCCCCGCCACCGCGTCCGTTCATCTGGCTCCAGAGTCCAGCCCGGTCTGTAACTCCACCACAGAACAACTCCTCACCAACGCCACCATCTTGTCATGGACGGAGAGCGTCACCGTTACCATAGAAACGCTCCACGGTGTCATGGAGTATCTCGGCATGAACAATCTAGACTGGGAGACTGTGTTCATCTACTGGATCCTGCTGCCCACGGCTGTCCTCTACATTCTCCCCTGGAGCATGGTCGGTTCCCTGTACGTCACGGCGATCATCATCCACCGGTTTGGCGAGAAGCACAACCTGACGGACCCGTTTGCCGGGGATGTCTGGTTACCAGCGCGGCGGATGGCCTCCGCCTTCTGGGATATCCAGGCAAAGTTTTGGCACGGTGAGACAATATTCAGCATCTGTATTTCCATGTTCTGATACAGTTGCAGGATGAATGGATGCTGCGCCTTTAGGCCTTTCTCCCTCTACCACCCGTTGTCCCAATTATAACGGTTTAATCTTTTTGATGATCGACATTAATATCATTATAATAACGAAGTCTTGTATCTATTGTTAAAACCTGCTCCACCGACCCTCTCCAGACGATGGTTTGGAGTTAGACGGCAGCAAGGTTTGGACTGTTGTCAACTGCGCCAGCTATAAATTAAAGGTCGGCTTTCAAAGCTAGTAATAAGACCTTTTTTACCCTATAGGCCATGAGATCCATGGTTTGGAGAAGCTGCCCAAACACGGTCCCGGGATGCTGGTGTACTATCATGCCACCGTGCCGTTAGACTTCTACTACGTGCTGGCGAAAATCAATCTCGTACAGAACAGACCTCTCTGGGCCGTGGCCGACCACTTCATGTTCAACATTCCAGGTATATGCTGGCCTGTTTACTCTCCTTTCAATGTGCTTTAAGTTATTCCTGTCAAACATTGACATAAGAAATGATAAGCCTAAAGCTGGCGTCATTGTGTTGACGTAGCTTAGGTACCATCCTCAGTCTACGTAGTTACCGTGGTTGCAAGCGAGAAGCGAGAGTCAGGAGTAACTACAATGGTACAAAGGATATGGTACGCAGGTGGTACGCAGGTTACTGTCAACAACCCTCGGCCTAATTCGTTGACCTAAACCATACAAATCCAATTCCAGGTATGCTTTGCGATATGCAAACTTCGTCAAGTACTCCAAGTTTTAACTCCTCTCCCCCACCCCTCTCTGTATCTCTTCAGGGTGGAGATTCATGCTGCACACGATGGGTGTGACGTCAGGCGAACACCAACACTGCGTCCAAGTACTGAAGAAGGGGAACCTGCTGGGCCTGGCGCCCGGCGGCCTCAGGGAAGCTCTCTTCGGCGACGAGAACTACAGACTCATATGGAGAAGGAGAATGGGGTTCGCCGCCGTGGCGAAAGAGGCCGGAGTGGTAAGTCTATACTAGCTGACTGGTTCTTGCTCTAAATGAAATTATCCACCCTCTTCCACCATCTATGTCCTTGGTGCTGATTGGGCTATCCGTCCAATTGATACGTTATCTGATGCTTATTGGTTCACTCAATCGTGTTCGATAAAATTGTACCGCGCTTCCGGATTGGTCTATCAACAGTAATCATGTTTCATCAATAGATAAACCATCTCAATACCTTCACAAAATATGGCTGCCCATTAAAGCGGGTCTGAAATCTTTGTCGTTTATACCTCTTGAATTTTGTGATCACGTCCTTACTGCGCTCTTTTGTTCCCCTGAAGCCTATCTTTCCCATGTTTACACAAAACTGCCGAGAGGCCTTCAGAACACCGCGAATGGGAAAACGCAAGTACCATATACTTCTAAAGATTTTTAATTATTATTCTGAAGTCATATGAATTAATGTAAGATGCTGGTAAATTTTCGTTCACTTCAAGTGCCCATTACATTCTAATGAGCTTTTTGTCAAAGTTGGTATAGTAAGCCTGGAGACATATATGTGTATTTTTTTTCTTATTGTTTTGTGCTTAGGCTTCCTGGAGTGGGTATATGAGAAAACGAGGATGCCTGTTGTTGGTATCTATGGAGGATTCCCTGTCAAACTCAGGTTAGTGTAGGTGTGGTGATGAGCCTGGTGGACTGAACCAAGAGAGGTATTTTATTTACTTCCGGGTACGGAAGTATTCTTTTCTCGGGTGTCTGAACTGTGGGTTTGTGTGTCTGTTTGTCCAGACAGAGTAGGTTGACAGTGAGTGGGTGGGGAAGAGTGACAGGTGGAATGACAGGGGGTCAAAACGTCAGACACAGGGAATTTAGGCATTAGAAGTCGACACGGGGGAATTCAGGACCCTCCAATACTTCCAGATTTCTTTTCATACTTCTGTGTCATAACTCACACATGATACAGAAATCAGACAAGAACAGTTTCTGTGATATCGTCTGTCATATAATTAATCTGGGGCTTATTTATAACAAAGAAATGAGATATCGTGTAGATCATAATGATGTTACTCTTTGTTTACGGTTACACAGAACCTATATAGGAGACCCTATCTACGATCCCAACCTTTCCGCTGAAGAGCTTGCTAAGAAGGTAGGCCATTAGTCCAATAGTGAATTATTCAAAACTACTAGTGATGCTTATATATTATGTCCCATGTAAACTAAATGTACAGTCATAGTCACTCCCCCTGCATTTTCTTATGTTTATACATTACGTTTCTGGAATAAAGAGATGGCATTTAGAAAACTCAAATGTTGTTAACTCCATGTACGGAAATATGTTTTGCGTGGGGTTGTCTGTGAGTTTGTGCGTATGCTTGTCCAGCAGAGACTGTTGCAGGGAGAGTGGGTGCATATTTTAATACTGGAATGGCAGATGACCCAGCACAAATTAAAAAGAAATAAAACTTTATTGTCATTTCAGACTCATCGTGCTCTGGAAGACATGATCGCTGCTCACCAGAAAATTCCAGGAAATTTACTTCGCGCCCTTCTGGAAAGAATTCCTGCCTTCCGCTCCGAAAGGAATGACTGAATTATTTTATGGAATCATCTTATCGGATCGGTTCTTTAAAAAAAACATATCATGTATATGTTGGAAGACGAACATTCCATTGCACCGTTTGAAATTATAGCAAAGAGGTACCGGCCTTTGTTGTTATAATAATAAAGATGATTTTGAGCTAGTAATAAGACGAAGTGTTGCATATATTATTTGTGAACTAAGATTCCCTCGCGTACTTAAATTTACATCTAGTTTCTGCGTCAATTTTTTTGTCAATGCTCAGCTCGTTTTATTTGTTGCCTGAATAGATCAGAGTCTTTCAACGTTATAAGGGAAATGGTTTTATCACATTCTGTACTTGGTGTTTTCTATAAATGCGATATATATCACAACACATTTCACCATTATATGGGATAGTGTGTACCCCTAAAGTTGTAGGTATAAGGAATACCACAGCATGCGCATCACATTGGCAACTGCTTTCTTGGAAATCCACTCCATAGAATAAAACAGCTGACAAACTAGGGGGAAGAGTGGTGGCCGGGGGGTTGGGGTGGAGAAGAGTGGTGGGAGAGAAACTAGGAAGGGGTAAGAGTGGTGGGGTAGGGGGGGTAGGAAGGGGGAATTATGTGTCTCGGGTATTAATGGGATTTTAAGTCAACGGTGACTGACATCGACCAATGGCGGTTGGAATCATAGTGGGTGCACTATAGGTAAACTATAGGTAAACTAATATTTTTTATCGTAATCAAGTCATAATCTATAACACGTTAAAGTAATCATTCGGAAAAAACTGCAGCCGACTCTCCCTGACAGATAACTACTAGTAGTTAGTTGTATTATCCATGCGCATGACCTGAACGTCAGCCCATATAGGAAAGTTTCTGCCTCGCTGAGACTTTTACGTAAACATATTGTCACACTACTAGACTAAGTGTCTTTTAATACCTCCGGCTCGGGGCCATAAAAGGTTACAGGTCAGTGAACTTGATAATCCAGCTGCGCGGAACGGCTGCGCACCCGACTCGACGGAGTGTACACTGGGACACTTTTGACAAAACAATGTTCTAGTTCGACGACTCTGTGTTTGAGGAAGTCTTCCTCCTACGTGGGCAGAAGTCCCGGGACTTAGCCATAGCGTGTTTTACTATAAAATGAGCAAAGAAACATGTTGGCTCCATGCTCAATATCATGGCGCTTGTTGCATCGCTGTCTGTGGGGCCAAAGGTCAACGTTAACTAGGACGCAGGTATTCCCGTTTGTAGTACTGCTGTTAGTTGTTTTTGTCTACACTCTGAAGGCCAGGCAGAGGGCACTTGTCCTGACACACGACCTCGAGATTTCGTGGGCGGAGACGGGAAAATGTCCGGCGTGTTTTGGGGACACCTGTGAACTTCTCCACCGGGGACACTTCCAGAACGTGCATTCAGACAGGCCGTTGAAGAAAGGTGCAGTTTCCATCGGGACTGTGGACGGTAAAACGGTTATTGCTAAAATTCTGGGTGAGGAACATGTATGGCAGAGGTATGAGAAGTCTATCTGTCGGATGTCGTCACGTCCTCGGGTTTGTAACGCCTCGTCTTTCATTCTGGAGACCATGTTGGTGACCGACGTTGTTTTGAAACTACCCTGGCTGCAGGAAGCGTGGAGAATATCCCACAAGGAAAAGTCAGCTTTGTCACTCTGTTTGTCTTCTAGGTTTCTACAAGAAGTGAAACAGCTGTTTGTCAAAAGCGAGAGAACAGGAGTAGACAGGGTCGGACGCGCGTTTCTCGCCACGTCACTTCTCCTCAACGAGGAGTCGGTTTTACTCCGATATTTCACTACAAAGTCTACAACACCTTGGCCTTTTCCAAAGTTTTACGGGGCTTGCGGCAGAGTTATTTTGGTGGAACATGCAGG